GTTGTGCATAATGATTTCTCCAAGATATTTAAATTGCTGGACTATGTTAAGTTTCTGATCATTTATGAATTTTATATAGTAATCAATATATAACTTATTACATATTATATCATTTAATATTTGATCTATCAGTCTTTTTTTCTTTATTGTGATCTTAGAATATGTGGAGTATAGAGAAACATACATAATGCTGCGGAAAATCAATGTTGAAATTTAAATGGAAACAGGTTTTGAGAATCTCTGATATTGAAAAGGTGTTGTTTTTCAAACCCTCTCATTCTTTCTTAATAGAATCTGACCTGTACATCTGAGAATGTCAGCTCGGGGACCATATGTAGGAATTTTTACCAAATTGGATATTTCTGGATCAATCTAGTCCAACTCAAGACTCTGTGGATTTGAAACAAATCTTTAAATTTTAGTATGTTTTTCGCATGATGCCCCAAGAACATTTATTTTGATTAAAATATTTTCTTTAAAATTTTATGTAAAATAGACTAAGTAGGTTTATGTGTACAAAAACAACACAGGTCTAATTTTCATTAAACTCTTTGATTTATCAACACTTCATGAATTTCCTGTTTTCCAGATAGTTCCAAAAACTTGAAAGTCTGTACAGTTGCTAAGTTTTGTGTAAGGGGTTTGGAAGTGAGATGGAGGTATTTTTATTAAATTTCTTGTGCACAGAAATATTTCTCTGGTTCAGATTAGGATATTAAGATAATTCATTAAAGTGGGAACAATTGTTTATATTTGTATAAAAAACAACAAACATTGTTAAGAGAAAACAATAATTTAAAAAACACAGGGTAATGTTGTCGATAAGCTGCAGGTTGCACATTCCTTCAAATGAGATTAATTCCAGTACTTTGTAATTTTAAACTACTACAGAAATAAGTTACGGACATTAAAACATTTTAAATAAAGAAGAAAAAAATACAATCTCAGCACAGATATTTATTGTCATCATTTACAATCTCAATGATGTACTAAATATTTCAGAAAAATTAATCTAATACCCTTACATTGGGATTTAGGTGAAGTTGTTTTGTTAGTGGGAAATACTAATTAAACTTAAATGTAGAGATTAAAGAAGAAGAAAATGGAAGAAAAAAAAAGTTTAATTTTGAAAGGGTGTGATTTTTCAAGTTGTAGAGGTAATATTGTACAAAGACAGACAAGGAGCACAAAAATCAGAATTAGTGCAGTTAATTACTGTAACGTCTATATTTGTGTTAAGACATTGCTGTAGGTACAATATCTTAATGTATGTTTGTTAGTTTGCAGCTTAGATCTGTTACTTAAGCACATTAAACTTTTTTTGCCATTATTAATCACATTTACTCATTAGTATCTTGTAGCTTTCCTTTTTTTTAAAAAAAATAAAAAATAAAATTTAAAATTAAATGAAATATACATTATACATTTCTTACAAATTAGAATCTTGTGATGACAGTAGTTTACAGTATCAGTGAAGATTTAGTTGTACGTAATTAATAAAATAAAATCTTGTAATGACAGTATAGCAGTTAATAACTGGCCAAAATGATTTTTATGTTTTACTTAATTCACATACTAAAAATTTGTAATGACATAACAAAATCTAAAAGAATCCCCCTGAAAAAAAATATTTTAATTAACAAATAAATTATAAATAAAACAAAATGGCAATAGGCAACAAGCTAAAGAAATAACTCCTGAGCTTTCTATTTTCATGTCATGCCTAGTATCTTGTGTACCATTCTTTTAATTTTTTTTTCAATTCCCTTTTAGATGTAACTTCTAATATTTCATCCGGCATTGAATTCAGCAGATTTGGAGTGGCTGTGTTAAGCATCCTCTCTCCAAATTTATTAAAAATCTCTGGAAGTATGAAATAGTGTGTTTTTTTTCTAGTTTCATAGCTGTGCCCACTGATTTTTCTGTATTTTTCATTGAAAAATGTTTTTTTGCAGAATTTGAAATTCATAGTTTTTTAACAGTCATGATTCCATGCATTGCTGCACTCCCTTCCAGGGTTAGGTTTGTTATGCTCATTTTTTCATTAAGGCTTTTAATATATTTATTTTGTAGGCTCTGTATAATATTTACATGCGATTTTGCTGCAACCCCCCATACTCCAATTCCATAACTGATCAGAGACACTATTAATGAGAAGCAGACCAATTTGAAAATTTTATAAGATACAAAATCTTTAATTCTCATTAGTTTCCAAACACATGTTCTTATTTTCTTGCTTAATTCCAAGATCTGGTCCCTCCAGCTCAGATTTTGATCAAAAGTTGCACCTAAATACTTTAATTTGCTTACAGAATTAATTACATTATTACATTGACAGTTCTTAAAGTCTTTGTGTATGCAGTCAGCTTTGTGAAAGAATGTTTTAACATGTGCATAACAATTTTTGGAGCTCTTATATGCGGTATTCTAGTCTTTTTCTCATTTATTATTAAACCTTTATCATGGCACCATTTTTGGAATATTCCAAATTTCGCCTGTAACTCCATTTCTGCCTTCTCTTGGTCTCTGTTTATAGATAATAGCATCTTGGCATCCGCATAAATATTATAGAATCCATTTTCTTGATAATTTCAAGTCATTCACAAATATTAGATAAAGTGTAGGACCTAGGAAACTTCCTTGTGGAATTCCCTTTTCACAGTTTTTATTTCAGTGTTATCTATTTTGGCCCTAAATAATCTTCCTTCTGTATCTAACATCTTTTCATGGCTTATTACATCGTAAGCTTTTGACAAGTCGATGCTCAATCCTATCACATGCAATCCCTTGTGTAATCTTTCATTTAATACTTGTCATAGATTTTCCAATAAGTCTATGGTCCTTTTTTTTATATGCAAATTGATTGTTATCTATTATTTTATATTTTTTGAGGTAGTTGGTCAGTCTTTGCGATATGTATTTTTCAAATATTATTTTTATTTATATAGTTTAGTTATAGGCCTATAGTTTTTATAGATTGAAAGACTGTCTTCTTTATGTATTGGTCTGATGATGGATACTTTTAATTCATCTGGAAAAGTTCCCTCATTAATGCTTGAGTTGGTAATTTTCATTATAATTGGTGTTATTGAGTTGATAACAACAACAATAATAATAATAACAATAATAATAATAATAATAATAATAATAATAATAATAATAACAACAATAAAAAAGTTTAATAATAGTAATAATTTTTTTGCTTTACAGAACATTGATTACTTTATAAAGAACTAAATGCTCCAACACCAGATTCCTAGTTTTTATTTTGCAGTATTCTATAGTAGAGAGAGGGAATCAAATAAGAGCCCCACATATCGATTTTTGTGTATTTACATAAAAAGTTGTATTGGTTCTACCTTCTTGTCAGAATTCAATTTATAAGTAGTTTAAAAGTTTTTGAAACAACAGTTCTTACTATGCTCAAAATTATCTTACTTTGCATTTACCAACTGCAACAAAGCAAGCTATAAATTACTTCACTTTCTTTGGGAAATAATTCTAAAAAAATTTAGTTATCATTTCTTTGAATCCATTGTGTATGTGTACTAGATTTCAACGTTCATTTTCTGGGTGAATGTCAGGAAAAAGAACTGTTTCTCAATTTTCATTTTCTTTTAATAATACGTGTACCTTCACTGAATACATTCAAATAAAAAAGAACAATGGATCAAATTATTACAAAACCACAACTAGGTATAAAAATAATGATGGGCAATTTATTTAAGGATGATCATAATGCTAGTAGTTACTAGTAACTTGAACACTGACCCGTTAAATAATACATTTGCGTTAAATATTTACTTAAACTACTTACTCCTATCCCTTCAGCTATTGCTTTTCATGTTATGATTAATTTTATCATCTGCAATATTATTATTATTATTATTATTATTATTATTGTGAATAAATGAAAGTCATAGAACTCTAGAATTTTACATAAACTACTCAAAAGCCTACATTAATCCATTAATGCCCAAATTATTATTTAGTTAATTTTTCAACTTTTTTTTGTTAAATCTAATGAAAACAAAAATACAAAATTTTGTAAATACTGCTGATATATTGTTCATTGATACTACGATATTACCTTGTCTCAAATGAAAACACTGAGAATTAATGCTATCATAAGTCAGTTTTATTAGGAAATATGTTCTATGAAAGAAAAGACAATTTTCAAACCAGAAACTTTTTTATTTTTGATGAGAAAATTTCAAATTGGCACACAGTGTCAATAAACATTTTGTGCAATATGTTCTTGGCTTATTTAAATATCCTATTAGAGCATCTCTGTTTGTTGCACCTTGCAATGCAATGGTTTGTATTGCAATATTGAATTATTTGTTGAACCTTGCAGGTCGAAATGTACATCTGGAAGTATGCTAATGTGACTGGAAGATTGCACATTTGGCTGTCATCTCACATTATGTTCATTTACTAGCAATTTCACGTCTCAAGTTATGAAGATCATATGCCTCCTTCCCTTGGATATTCCGATACATGCATTCACCATGGCCATATCAAAAACGGTGGTGAAAAAGGGCAAATACCATTTGTTTCTTCTCTGTCATTTGGCTCGCTTGACCTCTAGGCAGCCCAATCACTTTTTTCCTGTGTTAGGCAGCCATGTTTCAATTTGCCAATGCAAGTGGATGATTTTACTATTGATTTATCTCCCTCAACATTTTCTTGAGAATGACAGAAACTTACCTTTAATGTTCACAGCACATTTTGCATGTTGACTGTTCCAGTCACATTACCCGAACCTTTGACAATGTCAGTAAGATGATCCACTTTCTGTGGAAATATCTCAATATCCCTTACTGTATCAGTAATTTTTACACGCGATTTACGCTGATACCTTTTTGGTGATCTTTCATGTGTAAGAAACAAACCTTTTACTCTTTCCAATTCAGAAATTATCTTATCAAATAACATTATACCCGCCTTATATTTAAACTTCAAAAATGAAAATCACAACATTCAAAAAGAAAATCAACAACTGCAGTTCACTTCTCGAATATATAAAAGACTCATGGAAGTATGTTTTTTAGATAGTTCTGATCCCAAAGAACAGGATACCATTTTATCATTCAGCTGGATCACTACTCACATGCTGCTCACTGCCCTATGAAACAGTGGGCACCCAGCATCCTCATACGATGACAGCAATGCTCTTTCAACAATCACGCGGATACAATATTGTGGATAGCCTTAAGGCTAGTCTGACAAGCCCTCTAGGAAATGTAATTGACTTACCCAATGACATATGAGTATTTACACTACAGCTAATAAAAATAATATTTTAAGATATTGAATTCAGATACATTATAACTAAATAAAAGTTATATTTATCATGTCCTGCATGGTGTAATTGAATATTGAAGTGAATGCAATTCAATGAAGTGCAGTCTACGAAATTTTATTTCAGAGACTAGAAATAAATATTGAAAGAAAATTTCCCGTAATAATAAGAACAGGCATACATGTTAAATTAAGATGCATCATGATGATTCGATTCTGAATGTCCTATCTCTTCGTAAAATGTGATAGATTCTTGCATCATCTAATGAGACCATTGTGCATTAATGCACTCCATTTTAGTAAACAAACTATAGGAAATTGGAGTAACCAATACTTCTTTTAAACTATCTGAAAGTTATTTGGACAATGCGAAATTAAGTAGTGGATAATAGTAGTAAATAGTGAAAGTGGATTGTTAGTTACCAGAATGTCAGTCTATTAATTATGGCCTCAAGGAAGTTGTGTAGGACCTCATTTGTTGGTCATTTCACTAAATTCATTTAATGTAGTTGACAAACAAATTGTTTAGTATGCAATTTTAATGGAGTATTCTAATGGAGATATAAATAAATATCTTCATTAGAATAATATCTTACAAAATGCATTAAATTGAATAATTAAATGATCATATGAAATAAGTTGTTTATAAACCCATCAAAAATTATAGTAATGTATTTCAAAACATCTCTTATGGCAATGAATGAAGAAGACAAAATTATTGAGCAGAATTTGTCATTAAATAGCTCAATAATAAACTATAGCTGCAACTGTGTGAAATTATTTTGTTACTGAGTACAATGACTTAGGAAGAATCATGGATCCCAATTTTAAATTTCAAGAACATTAACTTGTTATTTGATAAGATTAAACGAGCTTTTTTTAAGAAAACATCGTTTAAGCGTTACTATAAAAGCGAAATAAGCTCCTATTCACAGAAAATTCTTGGGTTTTCGAGAAACTGAGACAACTAGAAGACTTATCACGTATTTAAGCAAACATGAGCCAATTTCGGAGCCATACTTATGTTTTTATAACGTGGCACGTCAAGGCGTGTCATGCGGCCAGCAAACTACGCCCTCTGACAGGATATTGCGTCAGCTGTCAGGAATTCCAGCCATTGCTGCGAGGGAGGCGGCTGAAGAATTCGGACATCCTATTGCTTTGATATACCGTCACTTTTCACCATGGTCTCGGTTGACGAGGCAGTTAATGTCTTCCGGAGTAAATTAGAAATCCACAGGCTACCTACGGAATGGGCCGACCTCGCTCACTTTTGCCTGTCTTACACCTTCTTTCAGTTCCGGGATAACGTTTATGCCCAGGTAGGAGCAGCCATGGGTTCCCCTTTATCACCTATAGCTGCCAACCTCTTCATGAAGGCGTTTGGAAATGAAACGCTACAAAATGCCAGGCTGAAACCCGCCATGTGGGTGAGATATGTAGACGACACGTTTGTCATATGGCCCCACGGACGGGACACACTCATGGAATTCCTGGATCACTTGAACAGTGCCCACCTCAAGATAAAATTCACCATGGAGGTGGAAATAGATGGTCGATTGCCTTTTCTAGACGTCTTGGTGAGCAGGCGTGAAGACAACAACAACAATAATAATAATAATAATAATAATAATAATAATAATAATAATAATAATAATAATAATTCTGAGAATCCTTGGGTGGGCGACTGCCTCTCCTTATGGAGAATTGCTCTTAGTAATATTCCCACAACTGAGCAATGTTTGTGGGTCTTACAATTATTTACACTGGGCAAGCTCTCAGTGTTACACTTCTGTCTCGAGTTGCCTGTAACGGCAAAGGAAGATTTCCTAATTGGCTAGTTCCTCTAAGTGATAATGACTGGTACATAAATATGTGATATACACCGTAGTTTCCAGTGCAAGGAACGATTCATTTCGACAACGTGTAAAAATAATATTGTTCAGGTCTATGGTAATTATAAAATTCTTTCTTTACACTACAAATTAACATTTTATCGATATTCCTCATCCCGAATTTTGAATTATCCGAAATTTCGGATTCGCGGGTCACTGTATAGAAACGCCTGTGAACACAATTATTAAACTAGAAGGTAACAGAATTTCATATTACCAGAGACTTTGAGCAAATATGGGAAGAGAGAGTGTTTAATACAGCTATTTAAAAAAATCTCTAACTCTGCTGGACCAAATAATAGAAATTACGTCTACTATGATACTGAAAAAAAAATTGAAAGAATCATCCGTATACCAAACATAAAAATAGAAAGTTACAAATAAAAAGAAATTGTTTTTATAAAAAAATTAATAAAAGTAGAATGAACAACATTAGGTGATAATTATTATTTATTTGTAATGATAAATATTGTTAAGGAAAATATGATGTATTACATCTTTGCGAACCTTGATCAACTTCTTTGTTAATTGGTAGATTTTACTTTGTTAAGGGAGAAAGTTTTGCTAGCTTTTTGCCAATTTTATATATATTGTTTTATAAAATCTCAAGTTAATTTATTGATTTTTTATTTATTGGTAATTTAGATAATGTATTACGTATTTGTAATTAGTATAAGAATGGTTAATGGAAATATTAAATATGTCATAATTCGTCTTTATTATGTTCTTTTATAATTTGTAGCTTTTACATTGTTAATGATGAATTGTTTGCCCTTTACATATTGCCAATTTATATAATTTATAGATAATTAATTTTTGTTTTTATCGATTCTGAAGTAAACTAGTTGATTGCATTGCATTAATTATGTTTGGCAATTGCTGAAGTGTAATATTGACCGTTAGTTTTAAGATTTATTTTCATTAATTATAGTTGCCAATGGGGTAATAAGTTTTAATATTTTTATGTATAATTGAAAAGCTCATCGCTATGCTTACTATTATTAATGTTTGTTTTTTTTCTGCTGCAGGACTCTCTAGCAATGTGCAATGAAAATTTTCAAGAAAGTAGGTCACGTTCTTTTGGTGAGTTTAATTCAACAATTGATTTTAAATTATTAGAATTCTTATACTTAAAGGTTTATACTTATATCTTTTATACTGAAAGGTTTTTAATTGTTAACTGGAATCTGCGTATGTTAGTGATTTCAAAATAACTGCTTTCTAGTATATGTTCCTGTAAAGAGTCTGCGGGGTAATGTGTGTAGTACAGGGTAATGTGTGTAGTAGGTAATGCCACCGAACATAGACGTCGAGATTTTCATGGTGATTCACTGTTTGAAATCTGATATGAAATTAGTTATAAACTTAAGCGCGTCCATGATTGCTTTTGCACGATCGAAATTAAGAGTTTTTTGCCGTCACCAACATCGAGACAAAAACAATCAACCACAAACAAACAAAAAAATCAACACACAAATCAATCAAAAACAAACAAACAATATAACAACCCTTTTACCCACGAAATATCAACTTATTTCCACAATCACATACAAGTGTTCTAATACAGATTATGACTTTATTAATCTCTTCTCGTCGTGGTATCTAGAAGTAGCCCTGTCTTACGTAATGATTGTATAACTGAAGTCCCTGGTGTAACAAAATGGAAGCCAAGCATTGTTTCTCCAACGATTTCCGATTCTGTAACAGGTGCATAGTGATTATAATTACTGTTTTGAAAATGGATAAAAGTAGACTGTATTGGCATTGAAACTGCACAGAAAGTGCAAACGCTGCACTATCTAATTTATAAATCGAAAAATTATTTTTTTTACCAAACTTACATATAGAATTGTTAATTCTATCTAAAATCCGTCTGTCTCTCACTCCGTCAGCCTCTTCGCCCATTTCTCTCCGTCGTCTGAATCTCCGCTCGTTTGCCCGTGCCGCTGTTTGCCCCGTGCGTCCTGTTTGCACCGTGCGTTCTGTTTTAGCCCGTGCAGGTTCCTGTTTGCCCTGGCGCTGTTTGCCCGTGCGCTGTTTTGCCCGTGCGCTGTTTGCCCTCGTGCGTCTGCTTCCCGTGCGTCTGTTTGCCCGTGCGCTGTTTGCCCGTCCGTCCTGTGTTTGCCCGTCGTCGTTCTGTCTGTTGCCCGTCCGTGTTTCCCCTCGTTTTGTTCCCGTCGCGTCTCGTTTGCCCGTGCGTCTGTTTGCCCGCGTTGCGTCGCTGTTTGCCCGTGCCGCCTGTTTGTTCCCGTGTTTCCGTCCGTTGTTTGCCCGTGCGTCTGTTGCCCGTGGCTGTTTGCCCGTCGCGTCTGTTTGCCCGTGCGTCTGTTTGCCCGTGCGCTGTTTTGCCCGTCGCGCTGTTTGCCCGTCGCCGTCGTGTTTTGCCCGTACGTCTGTTTGCGTCCTGTTCCGCGTGCCTGTTTGCCCGTGCGTCTGTTTGCCCCGTGCGTCTGTTTGCCCGTGCGTCTGTTTGCCGGGCGTCTGTTTGCCGCGTGCGTCTGTTTTGCCCGTGCGTCTGTTTGCCCGTGCGTCTGTTGCCCGTGCGGCCTGTTCTTGCCCGTGGCGCTGCTGGTCTTTTGCCGTGCGCCTGTTTGCCGTGCGTCCTGTTTCCCGTGCGTCTGTTTGCCGTGCGTATGCGTGCGTCTGTTGCCCGTGCGTCTGTTTGCCCGTGTCGTTTCCGTCGTCTGTTGCCCGTTGGCCGGCTCTGTTTCGCCGTGCGTCTGTTTGCCGTGCGCCTGTTTGCACCGTGCGTCTGTTTTGGCCGTGCGTCTGTGTTTGCCCCGTGCGTCTGTTCGCCCGTGCGTCTGTTTTGCCGCGTGCGTCTGTTTGCCCGTGCGTCTGTTTGCCCGTGCGTCTGTTGCCCGTCGCTCTGTTTGCCCGTGCGCGCTGTTTGCCCGTGCGTCTGTTTGCCCGTGCGTCTGTTTGCCGCCGTGCGTTCTGTTTGCCCGTGCGCTGTTTGCCGTCGTCGTGCCGCCCTGTTTGCCCGTGCGTTCTGTTCCTGGCCGTTCGTTGGTCTGTTTGCCGTGCGTCTGTTTGCCCGTGCGTTGTTTGGCACCGTGCGTCCTGTTTGCCCGTGCGTCTGTTTCGCCGTGCGTCTGTTTTGGCCGTGGCTCGTTTGCCCGTGCGCTTCTGTTTTGCCCGTGCGTCTGTTTGCCGTGCGTCGTGCCCGTCTCGTTTGCCGCGTGCGTCTGTTTGCCCGTGCTCGTCCCGTGGTTGTGCCCGTGCGTCTGTTTGCCCGTGCGGTCTGTTTGCACCGTGCGTCTGTTTGCCCGTGCGTCTGTTTGCCCGTGCGTCCTGCTTTGCCTCGTCGTCTGTTTGGCCCGTGCGTCTTGTTTGCCCGTGCGTCTGTTTGCCCGCGTCTGTTGCGCCACCGTCTCTGTTTGCCCGTCCGTCGTTTTGGCCCGTCCGTCTGTTTGCGCCGTCCGTCTGTTTGCCCGTCGTCGGTTCGTCTCTGTTTGTCCGTCCGTCTGTTTTCGTCCGTCTGGCCGTCGTCGTTTTGTCGCGTCCGTCTGTTTCGCCGTCCGTCTTTTTGTTCGACCGTCTGCTTGTCCGTCGTCTGTCTCTCATCTCTCTGTCCGTCTCTCTTTGGTGTTGGTGTTTTGTTTAACTATTTGAAATCTGCCTTCCATGTGTGCGGGATGCGCTGTTTCTCGCAAGTATCAGCGTAATAACGTTCACTGTCCGGTGTAAAGGAGCCGCACTCGCCTGTGTTGTGAACAGATTAAGTGGTCCTTTGAATCAGATACCAGACACACGGAAGTGTTGTTAGAAGAGTGCAGTGTTCTTGTGCGCACATTTTATTGAGTTATTACAGATTGCAACATGTCTTCTTCGGCGCAACTGGTAGCGGCAAAAGGCGGTGGCAGAGTTGATCGAGCGATCAACTGCAAATTTTAATAAATTGGTGAAGGATACGCAAATTTTAGCAACGGTCCGTACTCGCCTGGAGAATTTCCAAGGCTATGAAACAAATTTCTTGGCCCACATGCGTGTCTGGAAGCGACACTCGACGAAGATTAACTTCCGAAAGCTATTTTTTTGCAAGTGATTTTTGTCAATGTATCCAGTATTTATGATGTAGGATGGGATTCTTATCACGAGTTAGTTGGGAAATTTTTCAGTTAGGTCCCACCATGCGTGTTAGTATTTTTGATAATATTAATGCTAGAATTGGCTTGGGTGTGCCCCTGAAACTTTCAAACATTTCTTTGTCTAATTTTGTCGGCGATTTGAGGAAATGGGAAATTTATCGAGATGTATTTTTGGCACTCATAGATGCAAATGCGAATCTTACCGATGTACAAGAACTTAAAAACGAGTCTTTCTGGAGAAGCGCTCTTGGTGTTACGGGACACTTGTGTTAGTGAGGTGAACTATAAAGCACCAAGCTTCCGCAGAAAGGCTTCAATAATACATGTGCGCTAGTTAATGTTCATTTGAGAACGTTCGTTAATCTGGTGAAGGTGAGGACAACTTCTGAACGTACTGATTTGAAAACAAAATACGAGATGTAGCCAGTGATGACTTGTTTAATTTCATGATCGTGATAAACGTGATGTTAGCACTAGGTCTGAATGAAAATCGTTTGGTGAAACCACGGACATGCCATCTTTTGAGCAACGTGACGAGTTTCTAGTCACTCGCATTAGGATGTTGCATGCCGTGCGAAGACAGCTAAGAATGGTTCCATGGGAGTGAGAGCACATCAAGTCTCCTCGGAAGTAAAAAGTTGTGCGTGTTGTGCTGGCAGGCACCCTATTTTATGTGCCCTCAATTTAAGAAAGATTGACTAAATGCATTTACAAGGCTGATAGTTAAAGATAAACTTTGTTTTAATTGTTTAAAGCTAGGGCATTTGTCAGCACAATGCGACAGCAAGAGTGTGCGCCATACTTGAAAAATAAGTACTAAACGTTGTTATATTTCGATCGTGGTGTCGTTAGGAACGCCTCCACTTCTCGAGCCATTGTTACGCCCGATTCTCCCGAGATATCAATTAAAAATCTTTCCGATATAACTTTAACCGGCAGCGTACTGCCTACTGCGGTATTCCAAGAGATTTTGTGGCAGGAACATCCTGATCAACAATTGGTGCGGCTGAATGCCGAGAATGGTAGATCAATAGTGGTAGGTGTTGGTGGACCAACGGATCGCAAGTGTCTTGCGAATCGAGACGCCGTTTCATTTTTAGGCTTAAACCTCGTAGTGTCGCTGAGGGGCATCGGAAGCAGTTTGGGGTAGAGTGCAGAGGGCTGTCGCAGTGTCAGAGCGAACCGAATGTCCTTGTGCGTGCCTCAGTCCTTCCTTCCCTGACAACTTTCATTCCTCCTCGAATTGTCTCCGCTAATACGACGTACCTCAATGGTTTATAATTTGCCGACCCTTATCCTCACACTAATGAAAAAAATGATCCTTCGATTGACACAAATGAATATAGTAAAATACTTCTTGAGGGATTGAGTAAAGGTCCTATGTATGCTCCTATTGCTCAAAAGACGGTATTCGGTTGAGTAATGTCCGGTGTGTCACAGGCTCCTTTGGAACATAATTACGACTTGGTGGCCAACGATGTCGCCATTTGCCCTTCCCTAGAAGAAAATGCAGAGGTTTTGGATAATTGAAGTCCCTAAAGAGTCTTTCCAAAGCTGATCGTGAGTGTTCTAGCCATCCCACCTACCCCCAAACTTACCACCTTCACAGCAGCTTCGCATGAGCGTAAGCGGGTTATCAGATTTTGCTCGTGAAGCGAGCTTAAAAATCTATGGGGAGCAGGATCTTCAGGGGTGGCGAGAATAGTTTGAACCTTGACACATAAAATCACACAGATTGCACATAAACGCAGCGTAATAATTTACCATAAACTTTTAGTGGCATAAGTTATGTCAAAAAAACAATAAAAAAGAATCACTTTTACAAAGAATAATCAAAACACATAATAAGAAACCTTTACAACACAAACCATGTGAATGAACCCACATAATTTTACTTCAAAATTGAATACTTCTGAAAAATTACCTAATCGCACTGGAATTCCTTGGAAATTAATTATATCTAAACTTTGTGCTATTCTAATTACATTGCACGTGAAATAAAAATTCAATTTACAATCTCCGCTTCAACAATATTACATGTAAGAACAGAATGTGTGCCAAGTGCACTACCTCATTTTACAATTTAACTGTGTCTGAAAAATGCGAAATAATACAATGTCCTAAGTAGAAATGTTTTTAGGCAGGCAATAGCGCATCAAAACGTCTCCTACTATAATATGTATTTGTTGCCACCCGTGTCTCAAATTCTTAAACTTTCCTACTACTAAGCTTTTTCCCCTGCCGACGTAACTTGAGCTATTTTTTCCGCGCTGTAACTGTTACCATCGTGAACTTCCCACTATTTGGCCTTGAATGGTCGTGCGCTGGTCGCTGCGTCGATCGGTCGCGCTGGCCGTTCGGTCCCAGCTTCTGCGTCGTAAAGAGACGGGATTCGCCTCTGCCGTCTGCGTTGCCTTCTTGCGTCTCTCGTTCTTCTCCCAGCCGTTTCCGTCTTCTTCCCTCGTACGCCTGGGTCCATCCGTCTATCTTCACGTCGTCTGCTAAGCGCCTGTGACTACGCCGTGCGAAACATGTCCTTTGCACTTTTACCGAATACTCCGTGCAAGTTCTCGCTCGTCTGCTACTTTACTTTTGGCTAAGCCAGAACTTTTCATGTTTCCTTCACAACGGGTAACTTTTACTTCCGTGTTGTTAATTGAAGAAACAAACTCTAATCTGCACTATCCTCGCGGACGACTACTAGAACGTCTGTTCGACGGCCGAATACTCCCTACCTAGTAGTGCGTTGCACGCGGCAAACAAATATCTAATGTTACGAAAAAGTGTTGACTCGACCTATCGGTGGTCACGTGCTGCTTATCTCGAGCGCGTGTGCAAGAAAAAGAGAGCTTCCGCTTGGGGTTCGCGTAATTTATCGGCGGCGCCTGGGATTCTCAGTGGTGGGGCTGCTTCCCCTCTCTCAACCCTTCACAAGGAAAGCATTGCTTGCAAGTTCGCATTCGTTTAGTACGGGCAACGGATACCAGGCCGGGCGTTTATGAACCCATTTTCTGCGCCTGCTATCCACGCTGCCTCCGTAGAGTTCGCACATATGAATCGGTGGTGTTATGGGGTTGCACAATCCCATAACGCCACAGTGTGAACTCCACTTCGATTCCAATCAGAGACGCCGTTGCGATGGTCGTTACATGGTGTCTCTTTTATTCGGCATTTCCTCCTGTTGGAGGCACCCACCGTGTTGCTAAAAACTTGTTTCTACGGACGGAAAAAAGGTTAGTCAAGACGCCAGAAGAATACGAGAAGTACCGTAAATTTATGAACAAATACCTGAGATAAGGTCATAGGGGGTCTCTATCTGATTTGGTGACTCCTCCCTATTTATCCCTAATTTTCTTGTTATGCGAGAGGAAATTCAGACTTCAAAGCTCAAGATCGTACACAATGCTCCAAAATTCCGAACATTATCACTTCCAAGGAAAAAGACTCGCCAGCGTCTCCACCCCTTTTCGGTGAAGAATAATGAATGCAAAGACAAAAATGACGCTGTCAACTTCAAAACACTATGGCGTCTTCTCGACAAATGATTTTCACTATTTTTGTATTAGATAATGTACTTTCATATTTTTCCAACAATATTTTTTTCATAGTCTTATATACCCTCTACTTCACCGCCTCGTAGGAAATCCACCCCCACTCCTCTGATGCCCAGTATTTTGCGTTGGGCAGGACAATGCAGCAGGAGAAAGTCACACGTCACAAGAGAGCGACGGCCCCTCTCTCGCAGACGCACGTGGACGTGAGGACTGGTCACGTTACTGTGACATCAGCTGATGCACCAAATGTTTAAATGAGAAATCCACTAGATGTTCACTTCCAGTATAAAGAACCCGCACCGGATGTGTTGCAGAATAGGCCGTTTCCTTCTACTATGCGATTAATTCTACTGTTATGCGATCATTCTACTATTATTACATAAGGCTTCTTTGTTTGGAATAAATTTTGATTTAGAAGAGTTTTCGTTCTGATTGTAATATATGCCTTTCTTATCTCAACAAAATGTGGCCTGGTATTCTACATCTAATAAACTATTTTTCGTTTTTCCTTCACTGTATGCATTGATATCTTTATTAATAGAATGTTTTAAAACATTGTTCTCTTAATAAACATGATCTTGCATCGTCCAACTCCAATTAGTAATCAAAGCAGCTGTAACTTCTGTGTATGTCTCGAGAAGACAATTTAAAATATGATATATTATTTCAATGTCATCAATGTTAACACGCCATT